CTATATCTTTTGATAGCCAGGCACCATCAGCTTTCTTCACCACATTTGCTTATGTACCCATTTGTCTTCAGCCATCATTGATACAATTTTTTTATGAGCTCTCTTGGTTCAATCTTAAAAGGAAGTTAATGATGGATTTTGGACCTCCTGTCTCCTAAGTGTTTAGTGGCCTAGAACACTGGACACAAGGAGAGACCGTGTAAGCCTGCCTCTGAGCATACCGACTTCCAAAGCTGGGCTGGGCTCACACCGAGTGCCCAGTCACCAAATGAGTGCCCACCCACTGAGTGAGTGCCCAGGGAAAGAAAACAGGGCTTCTGTGAGGGATCCAAACCAGAGGGTCTGTGGCGGACCCTCAAATGCTGTCATTCAGCTGATGCCACACCCAGTATCATGCTGGATGTATCCTCTGGCCTCTCAAAATCCAGCCCCACTTCAAGCATTGAAGGTCTCAGCCAAAGTACTGCTCCAAGTTTGAATGGCTACCTCACAAAGAGTGGGGGGCCGTCAACAGATGCCTCGCTCAAATGTAACGCTGAGTCAGATGGGCCCTTAGAAGAATGCTTTCTCATTTCCTAAAATAACAAGAGACGAGTGAATCACATGAAAGGCACAAAGACAGAAGAGAGAATAACTACAGGAGGGCTTTTTTTTTTAACCCTTAAAAGCGTGATATTTGAAGCAAAAGACATTGCAGTGACTTGATTTTAGTCAGATAGGCTGAGAGCTGGGACACTTCTGAGATGGACATGCTGAGGTCATTCAGAAGGATGAAGGACACACATGAACATTGACCTCACAGTCCGGAGATCGCTGGCACGTGGGGCAAACTCGCTTCAGGAGATCAGAGGTAGAGGTGGAAGGTCAGAGCCATGAAAGAAGCAGGGGAGATGTAAGGAGGGAAGACAGACACTCTCCAAAATCGTAGTGGCAATATGGCAATTCCAGGGTGACAGCTAAGAGGAGTGGTCAAGAGAAGGCCAAGAGAGGATCTGAGCATGTTTGTGGGTCGAAGACAAAGAGCCGCATTAGGGATTCCGTGCGCAAAGCCAGAACTCGCTGCCCTCAGATGGGGTGGACTTATGGCAACCCCACGGGACAGGGTGAAACTGCCCTGGGAGTTTCTGAGACTGTAACTCTTTTCCGGAGTAGAAAGCCTCATCTTTCTCCCGAGGAGTGGCTGGTGGTTTCAAACTGCTGACCTTGTAGTTAGCAGCTCACGAAACCACCTTCAAAGAGGGAGAGTGTATTTCCCCAGCAGACAAAGGTCACTGCCTCTGAGTCCATCCCAACTCACAGAGACGCTCTAGGACAGAGGGGGACGGCTTCTTCGAGTCTCACCTGCGGCCAATCTTCACAGGAGCAGATAGCCTCGTCTTGCTCCCGTGGAGTGGCTGGTGGGTTTGAACGGCTGACGTGGCAATCAGCAGCTCCCAAATTAACCCCAGTGTGCAAGACAGGGACTCCTCCCAACCAAGCAAGCCTGGAGGCCACCAGGAGGGCAGCTTCCCGGGTCCTGTGCAGTGGTGAGAGGGGGCTGAGGAGACAAGAACCAGGCCGACCCCTGACTCAGGAGTGCAGCCCTCCTTTGGAGGGTCTCCACGTGGTCTGGGGAACACTTCGTGAGAAGAAAAGGTTCTCCAGTTGGGGAACTAGCTGTTAAGAAGAGTGCTGGTCAGCTGATCCCGAAAGCGTCCTCCAGGGATCTTTTAATCCTCTCCCCTGGCCCCTGTGATAAGTGCCCAGATGGTCTCCTGCAGCAGGTCATCTCCTGCCTCCCTGTCCTGGGCCTTGTCCCCGATGAACTGCTTGTCTCCTAGGAGGGGTCTCTCTGGGGTCTCTCGCCTTTGCACACGGCCGCTGTCTCCCATTAGACAGAAGACCCTGGGGGCTGGGTCCTGTCCTCGCCTCTCTTTCTACCACCCACAGCCTGGCACAGTTCTGCTCCCCACCTCCCCAGGGCCGAATGGACCGACGAGGAGCCCCCACCCTACATGCCCACATTCTCTGATGGCTGGCAGCCCCCGGAGCCCTCCTCTGCCCAGGTAAGGGGAGCTTGACCCCGAGCCCTAGTGTCCAGCCCATTTTTGCTTCCCCACCAAAAGGAGGGTTACCGGGAACCCATTGGGTATCTTATCTGTATGGCGGGTGGCAGGGAAGGCCTGTGCTTCCCGAACCCAGCTCCCAACCCCCTTACCGGCTGCTTCTTGCTCTAGCTCACTCTGTTCTGCCCCCGACAGGCACTTGTAGGCTACCGTGACTCCTTCAGGTAAGCCCTGGGGTCAGAAAGGACTGGGTGGTGCTGGGAGGTGGGGAGAGAGCGCACTGGCATAGGGGATGGTTATATGGCTCTCTGTCTACACCTCTAAAGACCCTCTGGACCCGCTTTTAGCAAGAACATGTGCAAGCACGCCCCTCCTCTACATCTGGTACAACCAGCAGGGTTTGTTGCTGTTTCGCACCCCAAGGCTGCGATCAAGGAGCCCTGGTGGTATTGCGGTGACACGGCGGGCTGCTCACTGCTCACCCGTCAGGTCCACTGTTTGAAACCACCAGCTGCTGCTCGGGACACAGCCGGGCTTTCTACTTCGGGGAAGGGAACTCAGAGGGGCAGTTCTACCCTGTCCCATAGGGAGGGCCCCCGGGAGTCCGCAGGGACTCTGTGGCAGTGAGTTTTGAGTGAGGCTCTCGTCACTTCCTTGGACATGACCCCACACACCCCTGACTTCCCAGAGCTCAGGTACCAGGGGCTTCAAAAGGTGCCTGGGAAAATGCCATTATCTCCTGACCCTTTCCAAAGCCTCACCTCATGTGAAGTGCTCTGCGGTGGTCGGAGCTCCAACGTAAACAGATCTGCTGCTTCCTGGGTCTTTCCGTATTGGAGACAATTCAGACCCAACCAGCCTGCAGACATTCCAGCCCAACCCCCACCCCACAGCCACCCCGCGGTGCCCACGTTACACTGTTACACTCGAGGCAGGAGGCGGCGGGGGCTCTCTGAGCTGGCGTGGGGCTTCACTTCTGACGCCCCACTCTCTGGCCAACCTGACTTTGTTTCTGGGGGTGGGGTCCTAGGTTAAGGGGTGCTTCGCCCGTTACAAAGGAGGACACAGACGACCCTGGCCCCCCGCCTGGGAAGCCCAGATTCAGAACGGCCAAGCCAGCCCTGCAAATGCAGGTCCTCTATGAGTTCGATGCCAGGAACCCACAGGAACTTTCTGTGGCCGCGGGGCAGGTCTTGGAGGTGCGCACCGGGCAGGAAAGGGTTAGGTGGTTGGTGGGAGCCAGGCAGCCAGGGTGGGTGGCCTGGAGGGGGTGAGGGAAAGGGTATAGAGGGAGAAAGGGGGGCGGGGACTGGGACTGGCTGCCAAGAGGCTCTCAATGGGGCAACTGAGGAAGGGACTCTCGGCAGGTTCTGGACCAGAGCAAGCGGTGGTGGCTTGTGCAGAACGAGGAGGGGCAGAGCGGCTACATCCCCAGCAACATCCTGGAGCCCTTCCAGCCAGGAGCCCTTGGGAGCCAGGGCCATTCGTCCCCTCGGGTACTGCCCAGCCTGGACTATCCTAGGAAGCCTTTAGCCTGAGGCAGGGTGGGACTCAGGGATGAGGGGAGGCGACAGGCCTGGGTAGGGTCTGTCAGTATGGTTGGATGCTTCCCGCACACTAGGTTTTATCATGCTGGGCCCTCCAGTAAGCCCAGAGAATAGATAAGCCAGGCCCTGGTGGCACTGGTGGGTACACCTGGGCTGCTAACCACAAGGTCAGTGGCTCAAACCCACCAGCCCCTCCGCGGGAGAGAGATGAGGCTGTCTGCTCCCGTAACGATTGACAGCCTCGCAAACACCTAACCAGGGTCACCATGTCGCATCGCCTCCTGTGGCACTAGGCTGTGTTGGCTTGGGGACCATGCTGCGAGAAAAGGGATCTCATGGGGATTCGGAGGAGGAAGTGGGTGATGGCGGGATGGGTGGTTGGGAGATGAGAAAGCCTCTGCTCCCCATTCTCTGCCTCCCCCCCAAACCCCGACTCTAGGCACCAAAGCTTCGACTCAGCTCCACGCCTGAGGAGGTCACAGCCTGGCTGCAGGCCGAGAACTTCTCCCCCTTGTGAGTGCTCAGCCCCCTGGGGGGTGAAGGCCAGTATCCCAGGGGGCTCAGAAAGCCCCCAAGGGAGCTCAGAGTACCCAGGCCCCCAGGCGCTGCCCGGCCCAGCCCCGTCCTGTGTTGAGGGTCGGAGGAAGCAGGGGCTTGCCCGTGCGGAGGCTGGAGTGTTCGGTGGGAGGGCCCAACAGCGGGCTCAGGAAGGCTGCAGACTGTCCATTCTGCCACCTTCCCCCCCAGAACATTCTCCTCTGTGCATTCCCACCTCACACTTGGGAAGTCAGAAAGTGCCAACATGCTTATCTTACTCCTCCACACCCAGAACTCTGTTCCATTCATTCCCCTTGACCATGAGTCTTCACACCCAAAGAACCCACTCTCCCCTAGCCAGGCCCAGCACCCCTTCGCCCTAACATTGGCTTCTGCCGTTTCGGCTCACAGCACTGTGAGGACCCTTGGGTCACTCTCAGGGACCCAGCTGCTTCACATGAGACCCGGGGAGCTTCAGATGCTGTGTCCGGAGGACGCGCCCCGTGTCCTGTCCCGGCTGGATGTAGCCAAGAGGATGCTGGGGGTGAGGGCCATGGATTCCCCTTGGGAGTGGCTGGTCCCCTTGGGGGAGGGGGAGACAGAGGGGGGGGGACTGAGTGTGGCAGCGGCTAGGTATAGGATGGTCCCCAGAGACTTGACTTCCCACTCTTGGCCACGGCTGGAGCAAAACTTACTGTTGGCGCCAGTTTTGGAGGTCTCACCGGACCCCAGCCTCACCGGACCCTCCTGTTTTCCCAGATGACTCTTTAGGCACCAGCTCAGGCCCCTCTAGGACCAGAGCCCTCTCAAGCAAGGTGGCAGATGGGATAGCCTTTCAAGCCTGAAGAATTCCTCTTCCAAGTTGCTGGTCTGCAGCAAACCCCACACGCCCCGCTCACACGGAAGACCAGCAGGCCTGAGGTTGATACTAGGACCCTTCTTGCTGTGCTGGGAGCTCTCCCCAGTTGCTATCTATTTATTGTCTTTCTCCTAAACAGGAGCACTCTCCCATGCCTATCAGGACCCCACTCCATCTCTGTTTGTACCAATAAAAGCAGCACCTGTGTGTCTCCTTGCTTAAAACTTCCTCTGGGCTTAGAGCAGGTGGAGGCCCAGAGACAGGGACAGGGAGGGCTGGGCTTCTGGGCATGAAACTGCAGCAGCCTATAGTAAGGTGACCAGACATCCCGCTTTTGGCGGGACAGTTCCGATTTTTAACAATTTGTCCCGCGTCCCCACGGTGTTTTAAAATGTCCTGATTTTTGGAAAGAATGCATGACAACCTAGGGTATGTGGTTTTCGGCTGCCATGTGGCTATTTCGCCAGGATATGAGTTTTATCAATGGTGTCCCGCTTTACCAATGTTAAAATCTGGTCAACTTAGTCTATAGCCATCCTTGGACATGATGGTCTGCATGTGAGTAGAAATCCTCTCTGTGAGAGACAGAGAGAGCGACTGAGAGAGAAAGAGAGAGAGAGAGAGAGATCACAGCCTTACAAACCCTCTAGATTCCTTACTTTCTCGATCCAAACATGGGTCTGAGAGGCTAAAAAGGAGGGAAAGTAAAACTGAAGTGACTTAGATTCATTTTTTTTTAACCATTTACGTGATTTATTTTTCTTATTGTTATTTTAGTAGATAATATACACAGCAAAACATACACCAAATCCACAGCTTCCGTGTGTTCATTCAGTGACGCCGACAGTACTGAGTTATGCACTGTTAGCATCCTTCCATTCGGAGTTGTTTGCCCCCCCTGACATCAGCTCATGCCTCGTAAGCTTCCTGTTTCATCTGTCAAATTGAAGCTGTTACTTGGCTTCCTTGTCTCACTGCCACTGAGTCCATTCCGAGTCATGGCACCAACAGGAGAAGGTGGCTGGTGGTCTGGAACCACTGACCTTACAGTGAGCAGTCCACTGGTTACCAATGCTCCTGCTTAATTCCATGCCCATAGCTCTTAAAATGGAGTGTCCTTACGAAGGCAATTTTATCATGAGTTAAACTAAACTATTATTTGGTTTTAAGAAGACTCCAGGGCTTACTGTTGGTTTAAGGTTTAAAGATGATCTCAGCGCAGTAGTTTCAGGGTGCCATCCATCTTTCATGAATCCAGAAAGTTTGGGCTCATGAGAATTTTTTGTCATATTCTGCATTTCCCCCCTCTTGGTCTGGAATTCTGGAGAACAGTCAAAGGCTTACAATGGCAAGCGACACTGAATGGAGAAGGCACCTTAAAAACGGCAGGGGAATAACGGGTAAGGTTGCTATATTCACCCAAAGACATCATGGGATTTCCTTTCTTGGCTTGGGGGTTCATGCTTACAGTTTCATGGGACATCACAGTTAATTGTCTTGATGCTGTGTCCAGTGTGTCTACTCTACTTCTTAAATCACTGAGTTCCTAGCAGCAAAAAAGGGAAAAAAAGTGGCTTGGATTCTTTAGTGATATACAAGTTCATTTCAAACATATGAAAAGAAAGAGAGGGAGGGAGGGAGGGAAGGAAGTGGGGGAGGGACATTTCCACTGCTCTTGGAGCTGAGCCAGAACTTAAGAATTATGGTCCAAGCGTTCCTTATGCTTTCTGTACAAACTCCCAAATCACTTATTTCACCTTCGTCGTTCTGGAGAGAGACCCTTGTCGTGTAGTGGGTTAGCAGCTGGGCTGCTAATCACAAGGTCAGCAGTTCGAACACACCAGCTGCTCCAAGAGAGAACAATGAGACACTGTGCTCCCCTAAGGATGGGTGGCTAGCCGGAGAAACTCACAGGGGCAGGCCTACTGTCCTACTAGGTCACTGTGCGGTGGAATCCACTCGGTGACTGTGAGTTTGGGCTGGTTTTGGGGATCCTTCTGGAAGCACATCACTTCACAGGAGCAAAGAGCTCCCAAGCTCCCAGCTGCAGGTTTTGAGCAGCCACGCTCGTTTACAATTTGAAGGGCACTAGACTCTACCAGGTGACTTCCTCTGTTAATGTAACGTTTGTCCCCTCCTATTGGGTAAGTCAAGGCTGAGTTCACCCCCACAGCTTGTCTCTTCCATGGGCCTGGAAGTTAAGTCTACCAAATGGCTATGCCAATTCTGTCCCAGGTCATTTTGCTCCCTGCCTCTCCTGTTTTAATCGTTTGGACTCTGTAGCTTGTAATATATTTTTCAGTGTAAGCGGCTTTTAAACTTTAATCTCAAAATGGTAGAAGACTCCCTCACACACACTGTAAAAGGTCCCCTCACACATATAAAACAATGACTATAGGAACACATTTTTATTTTGTCTCCAGGTGTGGCTTGATGTACTTATCGAGTGGAGTTAGGGGGCTAGACTAAATGCTCACTTACGTCTCTCTTAGCTGAATTTGTTTATGACCCTAACATTGTCTGGGCCCCAGATCACCCTGTGTTTTAGGCTACCTATGTCATTTCTTCAAGGAGCCCTAGTCCCACCGTGGGGTAAGCATTGCGTTGCTAACCCCAAGGTTGACAGTTCAAACACAGTGGCTGCTGCTAAAGAGGAAGACGAGGTTGTCTTTCCCCAAGATTTACAGTCTCAAAAAATCCTTAGTAGTAGTCAGGTATGTAAGTGTTATACACTTGAGTTTTTCCCACAGCACTGTCCTTGTCAGCTGTGTTCACATCACAACAGTTTCTGAAGTATTTTTCTTCAGCAGGAAACAAAATTTCACAGCCACATACTGTTCTGTTAAATCAGCCATCAACAAAAAATGAGGTTTGAGTGAAACTGCTTTTACAAAAAAAGTCACTTTGACCAGAGAACCTTCCCAGGGGGTGCCACTGGGTGCACTAACTCAGAGGGAGTTGCTCCATGTTCACCTAGTGGGAAAAATGCATGCTATGAAAGTTCCACTCTGCCCAGTACAATTTTTTTCTTTTGTGTGTGTATCCCCTAGTATATGAAACACCTACACTAGTGCCTGCATTCAATAAATGTTAGCCTTGGATCTAGGCATTGTACATGTCCCTATGCCTCTACACATTTGCACTGTTATCCTTTTTTTAGAAAAAAATTCTAGTTTTCAGTAACAAAAATATTTAACAGCAATTTGTGGTCTGTAGTATGTCTCTGGTTGACAGCAGCGATCTAGAGATTTGCAATAACCACAGGAAAAACACCCACTGGCATGTAAGGCACTCCCCTGCCCAAACCTGACCCATGATGTTTCCCCAGCCTTAGCTCTCCCCACCCCATCACAAACTCATTCAATAGCCCACACCCACAATACACTGTCCCCTTTGTTTTCTCCCGCTCAACACTCACTCACTCACTCACTCACTCACTCACTCACTCACTCACTCACTCACTTAGTCCGGGTTTTCGAGACTGAATCCTTTATCTTCCCTGGTGGGTTTGAACTTCTGACCTTTCAGTTAGCAATACCGGACAGCGCCACCAGGGATCCTTGGTCCCTTCTACATAGTTAATAGTTCCCACCTTCCAGCGTTTGCTCTGGATTTCCTGCTGCCTGGACCACAGTGTCCGGCATTCCCAAGGTCCAAGGCCTTCTTCAAACGTGCGCACCTCCTCTTTGAGGTCTGTTCTTGTCCATGTTCAAGCGAGTTCTCGAGGACTTCAGCGAAGCCAATGCACTTTGGCAGTTTCATGGGCTTGGTAATTTATCGGTGTCTTATCTCTTCCTCCCCACCCCCACTCACACACACCCTACCCAAGCACCAAGATCAGCAACTTCTAGGCGGTCAAAGTCTGCTCTGCTCGGACTCCCGGTGCTGGACTCTGACTCTCAAACTACCAAACTCACTGCCATCAACCGAGTCCAACTCGGAGTGCCCCTACAGCGCAGGGGAGCGCAGCCCCTGTGCGCTTCGCAGACGGCAACTCGTGCAAGGAGAAAGCCTCTCCAATCGCCCACGCGGGCCCAGGACGCGTGAAGATCGGGGCCTGGATCCCTGGGTTCTCGGGGCCGGGCCCCTCCGCAG